ATGTATTGATATACTATTTAAATAAAAATAGAAAAGCTAAATAATCTTTTTAGCAAAAATAAAAAAACAGGAATTCATATATTTTTCACGATTATTCTGTTCACATGTTCTACTATTATGTCCGGTTTTTTGACATAGACTACATTTATTAGTAAGTCTTTCTGTTTCAATCAATTTAAAGCTAGAGAGATCTCTTTGGGTAGACGATTTATTCTTCGCACCAACTGGATGCCCTTTCATATGTTGTATCTGTGGGTATTGCACAAATACGGTTGGTTCTAAGAATAAACTTGATATTCTGTTTAAAGTTGTAGTTTGTCTAAGAGATAACCAAAAATTAAATTGCTAGTTATATTCCTGCCATTGTTGCTGCAGAGAATTTTTAGAGCTAGATGATATATCCATAGAAGATTGGTAATCTTGAAGATACCAATATTGGTGAAAATTAGTAAATTGCAAGCACTGGTAGTTTATATAATGCTTCAAGATTATATGAGAGCAGGGTAGACCCATGGATAAATTAAAAGTATACTACAGGGTTGTAGTAGGTTTTCTGAAGTCGAATTAGTTGCCTATTAGAATTGTTTATATATTTTTTTCAGAGCAAATACAGATATCTTGGTTATAACCTGCACGTAGAATCAGTTATTCAGGATATGAGGAATTCAAATTTTCTCTTGAGAAACTATAGATTGAATTTCTTGATTTTGATTCTCTAAAGCAAGAGAAATTTTTTGGTAAATAGCATAGAGATCTCCTGTTGACATCTGAAAATATTTTTTTATCATTGTATGAGCACCTTCTACTCGAGACGTGGTCATATTGCCAGGTGTAAGTAGTGATTAACTCAAAGACTTATGAAACTTTCTTTAAATAGTAGCTATGTATATTGTAAATACGACAAAATCAAGAGTTTTTCATTATATTTTCTCTCTAATTCTTTCCACTTTTTATTAAAGTCTGTTTCTGTTTTAGATTTTGTGATATCTGTCCAGCTTTTAAAAAAATCAATCCATTCTTCTCTTCAGAAAAAGAGCACTTGCAGTTTGCTATAATATTTTTTTCTATATACCAGGCGTATAGAAGGTTTTGGATTTAGGAAATATAGTTTTTACAGTATGCATTAATGCTAACTTACGATCTGTTATAATTACTCGGGGCTTTGAGATGTTTTAAAAAATATGAGCCATACAGGTAAGAGCCCACTCATAATCACTTTCTTGCTCAGATTTTAAAAATGCAAAATATGAAGAAAATGTCATATTAAAACTCATTGTACTGATGACATAAAGTAACAGCATTTTAAACCTATTAGTTTTATATGTACAATCCATTAAAAGAACTGAATTCCTGTTTTTTTATTTTTGCTAAAAAGATTATTTAGCTTTTCTATTTTTATTTAAATAGTATATCAATACAT